TCACGCCCCCCCCAAACACAGACCTGACTGTCATGCGCTCCCCCAATGTTCTGAAACCCAACTGCCATGTTCTGAAAGCCTTTGATATTACTTTACAAAAAATTATTGAAAGAACAAGATTTTTAAGAAGAGTTCGGCATTCAGTTCAATCTTTTGATTATTTAATTTGCAGGTTAATGGAAATATGTAACTGTAGGGATTTAAAAGCAGAATTTATTACAGAAAGAAGTGTGTTGGAATTGCTCATGAGTCTTTGTCAGACTCATTATTGTCTAAAGAAGGGAAAGCCATTCAGGTTCTGAGTAAAGGAAAGTCTGGGAGCAGCTGCTAACTCTAATGAAGGAACATATGCCCTCAACAATCTTCACTAGAGCAAAAAGATCAGACAGCAAACAATACATAGCTTGTTTGAACAGGTGAATTCTAGATTATTTCCCGGGTTAGAGAAGCTAATGCTGAATACAGCAGAGACTACAGACTGATGCTAAACCAATATGTCTCTATACACCCAGGATTCTTCAACGGAAGAAGTTAAGAAACAACTTGATGAATAAGCATCATTTCCACTGGGTAATAAAGTCAACTGCATTGTGTTTGGACCTGAATATTGCCCCCAAACCTAATGGGTCCAACTGAATGCGATGATCCCACAAAAACTCAACAAGACAGTGGAGTGAGAGATTCACCACATGCTTATGGTTGATGAGGACCCAGCCAAATTACTTCTAAGTAGAGCGTTCAGGAAACCTGATGCACACTCTGGGTTCCAGCAGGGGCCATTAGATAAATGATCAAGACTGCACCACATCTTGAACCACATTTAGGAGGTTTTGCTTCACCTAATGGAATCACTTCAGCCCTGGAGATTTCCAGTAGTCTGTGTCCAATGTTCTGTAGAATCTACAAGGTGCCATATACCATGTGGATGACAAGTTGGCACACAGTGAGGCATGGGAGGAGCAGGACTAGAGACTGCATGCAGTTTTAAAATGGCTATAGGCTTAAGGACTCACCCTTCACAGCCAGTGAGAATTCTGTGAGGAATTGATTTGCTTTGTGGGTCACAATTGTGACGGTGATGGAATAATGATAGATCCACAGAAAACAAAGGCTGATAATCATAGAATCCCTACAGTGTGGAAACAGGCCCTTTGACCCAACAAGTTCACACCGACCCTCAGAGCATCCTACTCAAACCCATCCCCCTAATCTACACATCCCTGAACACTACAGGCAATTTAGCATGGCTGATCCACCTGGCCTGCACATCTTTGGACTGTGGGAGGAAACTGGAGTACCCGGTGGAAACCCACACAGATACGGGGAGAATGTGCAAACTCCACACAGACAGTCGCCCGAGGGCAGAATTGAACCCGGGTCCCTGGCACTTTGAGGCAGCAGTGATAACCACTGAGCCACTTTGCTGCCCCTAATCAGTTAATAACTTACAGAACACTCTAGGGATGATAATTCACTCAGAGAAACATCTGCTTCATTTGGCAGCCATGATGGAACCATTGGGATACCTCCTGAAGAAGATGCAGAATTGCTGCTGGAAAGTTGGGATATGGCATTAGTGATGTATGCTGGTATGAGACATAGGATTGAGTTACAATGATCAAGGAAAGCTCTCTCCCACCAACTCATATCTATGGTGTAAATAGTGAGTAAAGGTTCCTATTCATCATTATGAGCACAGACTAGCCTCTCTCTGCAGACATGATGGGCTGAAAAGCCTCATTCTGCACTATCACAATTCTGTAATTCCCTCTGCAATCTCACAACAGTTTACACTGCACTCAGCGTATCAGAAATCTGTCTAGTTTAGCCTTGAATATATTCAATGTCCCCAACCCCAATGCTGTGTGGGCTAGAGAATTCCAAACACTAGCTATCCTCCAGTAGAAATTCCTCCGATCTTTATTTTTAAATAATTTCCCTGTTCTATGTTAGTCTATAAAGGGAAGCATCCTCTTTGCATCTGATTCCACTGACAGTCTAGAGAACTATCCTGTACTGCCCAAATTGTAACAGTTTGCCACAGTTCCAGGTTGTAACTTGAAGTTTGCTGTAGGATTTCTACTGAGGTCTTTCTTTGCTGTTTCTCCATAGGGCTCTGAATAAACAGACTCAGAATGGTGCCACACCTCTCTACCTGGCCTGTCAAGCAGGCCACCTTCATATTGCTGAGTACCTGGTGAAAGAGTGCAAAGCCAACTTGGACCTACGAGCTCATGATGGCATGACAGCTCTCCATGCGGCTGCCCAGATGGGGCACTGTGCCCTGGTGGTGTGGTTGGTAAGTTAATGCCATCCCCATGAGTCTTTTCCTGTACTTCATTGTCACTGCTCCCTGTGACAGTATCCCTCCCTGGGATTGAGGGATATGTCTTCCTGAGACTGGGGAAATCTCTCGCTGGGACTAGGGTGATGTTTCAATGTGTGTGCATGTATGTGTGTGTGTGAGAGAGAAGTGTGTATATGTGTGCATGTATGTGTGACAGAATGTGTATGTGTGTGTGTATGTCCATGTGTGCGTGTGTGTATGTGTGTGCATATATGTGTGTGTGTATGTGTGTGGGAGAATGTGTGTATATGTATGCATGTATGTGTGCGCATGTGTGTATGTTTGCGTGTGTGTGCGTGTGCATGTGTGTGTGCATGTGCATGTGTGTATGTATGCGCGCGTGTGTGTATGTATGTATGTCTATGTGTGTGTGTATGTATGCGTGTGTGTGTGCATGTGTGTATGTGTGCGTGTGTGTATGTATGCGTGTGTGTGTGTATGTATGCGTGTGTGTGTGTGTGTTTGCATGTGTGTATGTATGTGTGTGTGTGTGTGTGTGTATGTGTGTGTGTGTGTGTTGCTTTCCCTACCCCTCCATCCTCTCTGTTATTGACTGTACAAATCCTGACGTTAACCCAGCACCCTCTCACAATCAGGTTGGTATATGAGAGTAATAAATCACACCAAATCAACAATCAGGTCACCATACATTCCTGACTTCCTGAAAGTCCCCACAATTCTCTCTAGTAAAATGTCATCTCCTTTTGGATACCACTTTGGGTGGCTCAGGGCAAACGTCATCTGGTTATGCCGCTTTAGATATTTTGGAAAGTTCTACTTAAAAGCAGAGTTTTTTTTAAATTTCAAAGTTCTGTTGTAATCCACCTTCCTCCAGCCTGACCTGTCCTTGTTTTGTTGTCTGGCTGATGCAGAAATCCTTCACAGATATTGACCTGTCTGCACAGGACAATGAGGGAGCAACTGCAATGCACTTTGCTGCCAGTGGAGGGCATGTTGGGACCTTGGACCGATTAATAAGGATGGGGGCAAGGATCCTAAAGGACCACTGGGGTGGGACACCCCTACATGATGCTGCTGAGAATGGACAACTGGAGGTGGGTAATAATTCACAGTTATTTTAATCAGAACTATCAAGTGCTCGATTGCACAACTCCTCAGTAGTGAGAAGCAATGCCTTTGGTGTGAAACATGCTTTCAGAGTTGCAGCTTTTTAGACTCGCCAACTTTAAGGGCATTTAAATGGTCATTGGATAAACATATGGATGATAATGGAATAGTTTAGATTAGATGGGCTTCAGATTGGTTTCACAGGTCGGCGCAACATCAAGGGCCGAAGGGCCTGTACTGTGCTGTAATGTTCTATGTTTTATGTTCTATGTTCTATGTTTATTGTTCCTGGGAAAGCTGAGAAAATAAGTTATTCTCAATGAGCTATTGGAAGCTTTAACATTGAGAAATAGTCTCAGTATTACACATCTTAAGTTAAAATTTGTTCTCCAGGTACTATACTGACAAAAGCATAGGATGGAAATCAGAAAACAATGATAGGAGATAGCAAGAACTGCAGATGCTGGAGTCAGAGTCGATACAGTGTGAAGCTGGAGGATTACAGCAGGTCAGGCAGCATCAGTGGAGCAGGAGAGTTGACATTTTGGATCGGAACCCTTCATCAGGATGAGAGAATGTCTGTGTGTGTGTGTGTGTGTGTGTGTGTATGTGCGTGTGCATGTCTGTGTACATATGTGTGTGTGTATATATATATATGTGTGTGTGTGTACATGTATGTGTGTATGGATGATAAAGGGTCCTGACCCAAAACATCAACTTTCCTGCTTTTCTGATGCTGCCTGTATTCCTCCAGCTCCACACTGTGTTGACAAAAAGCAATGATAGTTCAGAGTCACATCTTATTTTAATTCCTATTTTTTATTTGTCTGTTGACATGTAGATTCGATATATTTAATTCTTTAGGTAAGGAAATTATAAACTCTACCCTAAGTAGTTGGTGGTTTGCCCAGTATTTGGATTTGAAATGCTGAATTTTTATCTTGTGGTTCCCGATAACTTTTTATTTTAGGCAATCTACTTTTACACCTAAAAGGGAAGGTCACTGACCCTATTCCTGGTGATACTACAGAAGGAATTTCTGAGTGCATCAGGATCTGTTATTCAAACATTGTCAGCTGTGGAAAATGTGATATTTTCTTTAAAGGTATTTTTTAGTACAGAGGTTTTTGGCTATTCCCATAAGCTTATACGGTGAAGAGGATAAAACAGAATAGAGTTTTGTGGTTCCCAGCTTTAGATTGATGTCAATGATGTCGCATTCGTAAAATGACAGAACTTCAATATGACCTTAACAATAATTTAATGTTGACAGATGGTGGGAAAGCTAGGAGGTTCGAGGAAAGTTTTGCAACTGCACTGACCACCACACAATGTTGTCCCTCAAAGGTTTGGAGCTGGCTTGCCAACCAGATTCAGTTGGGAACTGCTCCCACAGTCTTCAGGGGGTTTCTCTCTTTCACTTATCAGTGGAGGGAGACAGTTTTGTTGGGAACAGAAGGACATATGGAAATGTAGAGAGTGAGACAGGTGTGAGAGTGAAGCGGTGAGGACCTTTCCTGAGGCATAATGAGTCTAGAACAAAAGACAAAGGTAAAAGTAAGGTTGCCACACAGAGGACCGTAGGGCTTGTTCTCTTACTAGTGAGAGACAACTGGTACTAGTTTAACCTGAGAGTCACCATGCCTCAGGTGAGGGGTGAGATTGAGAAAGTTGGACCTTCATGGTAGCCAGTGTGAGAATTGAACCCACGCTGTTGGCATCACTCTGCATCACAAACCAGCTATTCAGCCAAGCCCAGGAGAGAAACCTGAGAATAAGGTGGAGTTATTTACCACTGTGTTCCTCTATCCACGCATCACTCTTTTTGAATTGCAGTGTTGCCAGATCCTCATCATGAATCAAGTGGATCCCACCATTCGAGATGATGATGGCTATACTGCAGCAGAGCTGGCCGATTACAATGGGAATGTGGAATGTGCCAACTACTTGAAGCATGTTGAGAAAATGGTAAGGATCATTGGCATATCTGAACGAACTGCATTTTGTGTAGATTGTATTTAAAGTAGCCTTCAACATTGAAGGGCCTGTGTCTGTCCTTTCTGGGCTGAAACTATTGGAGCTAATTCTTACCCTAATGACACAGGTCAGAAGGGCACAACTTTCACTTCTTGGGGGGAGGGTTCAGAAACTGCCAAGGGCTGGACTCGAACGAAAACCACCAGGTTTCTGTCGCTGATCACTGTCCAGTGACTCTGTTGGGTTTGAGAGAATTGCAGGGTGCTGTGAGGATAGCGTTGGTGATCGTTGGGAAAGGATGGGATGGACTAAAGTCAACATTGTGGCTGATCAGTGGTACCACAGTCGCATGGATGGAGCATGTGCTGTGCCTGGCACTGCTGACACTTATGTTTGTTGAAAAACCCAAGTGAAGTGTCACGTATGCATTACAATCACAAGGTGCATTTATATAGCACCTTTACATCATCTCAAGACATGTACCCAGACCAGTATCAGAAAAACCTTGATAATAAGCTACACAAACGCAGGATTCTAAAAGTGGACAATGTGCATTTAGAATGTATGTGGTTAGCATAAAGCAGATAAATAGTTCCATTGAAAAGCCCTCAGACTTTATCCATGTCTCTTTCATAGACTGGTGCACCTCAAACATCCACTAAGGTACCACAATACAACAACAGAGTGACCAAGACATTGGTCAAAAACATTGTCTTATGTTATGGTCCTCCATAAAGCCTAAGAGTTGGAGAAATGGTTAGGATTACACAGGAAACACTCAACCTTCAGATCTCGTCAACTGAAAGCTGGCCACTAGTGATGTGACGAAAAGAGAGGGAGGTGCACAAGAGGCCAGGATTGAAGGACCACAGAGTTCTTGGACGGTCAAAGACCTTGAGAAAATGACAGGAAAAAAGATGAAATAAAACACAAAGTGGCAAGTTAGATGAAAGGATGGGCTGTCACTTCACAAATTAGCATTTTACGTGAGTATTTTATGGCTGGGAACAAGAATGGCCAGTCCAGGATACTAGATTTTGAATAAATTTGCATGGCAGAAGTACAGTTTGGCCCAGGCTGACAGAGGTGCAAATAAACACTCTCCAATGAATTAATCATGGAAGGAAGTGGATGAGATTTTAACTGTGACGAGCCATGGAAGAACAACTACATTTCATGTTCATATTATGATATTCACAGCTCAGGAGAACGTCATGTTCAACCAGCATTGTTCAGGGTCTTGACTATATGTCATTATTTGATCAGCATCATCTTTGGTAAATATGTTTCCTGTTGACTTGTTGAGTAGGAAGATTGTCATCATCTTCCATTTCATTTATTGGCTGGACTGCATAGTCACTGCTGAAGGCAGGAAGCAAAGGTCCGGGCTTCCTCTGGGGTTACCCTGCCTCTCTTTCCTAACTGCAGTGGGATGGGAAAATACATCAGGTGGGAACCCATTCCACTGGCTCCCGGACCCCTGCCACCCATTTCCGGGATTTCCTGTTATAAATTACACTGTGTGCTAATTACATGTGGCTTACAACAGATGATTATAGAGTGCATAGGAAGAGGAGGCCATTCAATCCATCAATCCTTGTTTTGCCATTGAGTTCGATCATATATCTTAACCCCATCTACTGGCCTGGAGCCCCATATTCCCCAATATCTTTACCTAATAAAAAGCCAGGACTTTACACACTGTTGATTGGTTTTCAGCATCAACAGCTTTTTGGAAGAGAGAATTATAAATTCCCGCTTGATTTTGCATAAAGTTGAGCTTCCTGATGACCCCTTAGTAAAACCGTACTCCTGAACTCTTCTTCCAAAACAAATAGTTTATTCATCTACTTTATTAAATTCTTGAATAATTGCAAACAATTCAGTTCGGCTACCCGTTACCCATCTTTATTCCAAGGTGTACCAACCTAGTCCGCAGCTGATAAATTATTAATAATTTAAAATTCCTTCATGGAGACTGAATTCGCTTCTTTTGCCTAGTTAGTCCAAGACTGTAAAGTATTGATCCAGTAATTCAACTAGTTCAAGGCCAGAAACCGATGATTAATGACTAGAATTTGTTACCTACCAAGTTTCTTGTCTTTTCTTGTCTTGACTGCAACGTTCCCCCTTTGGTGGTTGAAAATGCTCTCAACTGCATCTCTTACATTTCCCCCTGCCCTCACATTCCCTCCCCCCAACAAAAACAAAGACAGAATCCCCCTTGTCCTCATGTGTCACCCCACCAACCTCTGCATCCAATGTATCATTCTCCGCCACTTCCGCCACCTACAATCCGACCCCACAACCAAAGAGATATTTCCCTCACCCTCGCCCACATCTGCCTTTCGTAGGGACCGCTCTGTCCGCGACTCGCTCATCCGCTGCATACTCCCCACTAACCCCACCACCCCCGGCACCTTTCCCTGCAACCGCAGGAAGTGCTACACCTGCCCCTACACCTCCCCCCTCACCTCCATTCAAGGCACAAAACAAACCTTCCACATCAGACAGGGGTTCACCTGTACATCCATCAACTTGGTCTACTGTATCCGCTGCTCCTGATGTGGCCTCCTCTACATCGATGAGACCAAGTAGAGGCTCGGAGACCGCTTTGTAGAGCACCTGCACTCTGTTCGCGACAAATGACAACACCTTCCAGTTGCGAACCATTTCAACTCCCCCTTCCCACTCCCTGGGTGACATGTCCATCCTGGGCCTCCTCCAGTGTCACAATGTCATATTCCACTTCAGCAGCCTACAGCCCAATGGCCTAAACATGGATTTTACCAGTTCTAAAATCTCCCCACCCCCAGCCTCATCCCATGATCAACCCTCCCTCTCATCCCTGCCTCCTTGACCTGACACAACCTGTCCATCTTCTCTCCAACCTATCCATCCCTCCCACTTCACTGACCAATCCCCACCACTACCTACCTGCACTCACCTATCACCATCCCACCTACCTTCCCCAGCCCCACTCTTTCTCTCTTTATTTATTTCTGAGCTCCCTTCCCCCTGCCCATTTCTGAAGAAGGGTCCCGACCTGAAACATCAACTTTCCTGCTCCTCTGATGCTGCCTGGCCTGCTGTGTTCCTCAAGAATCCTCTACGTTCTTGTTGTACAGTGCTGCTATAGTACTGAACACAAAGATAGGAGGTTATGCTTCAGTTATGCAGGACATTAGTGAGTCCTCATCTGGGACACGGTCACAGCATTGGTACCATACTTAAGGGGGAATGTAAATGTTGGAGAGAAGGCTTTCTGGGTTAATATCAGGAAAGGGTGAGTTGGCCTATGAGGAAAGATTGAATGAGGTAAGCTTGTACGCACTGGAGTTTAGAAATATAAGAAATGGCTTAGTTGAAACTTTTAAGATCCCGAGGCGTCCTAATGGGGTAGATATGGAGAGTATGGTTCCTCTTACGGGAGAATCCAGAACTAAGGGTTCATCTATTTAAAACAGAGATTACATTGTTATCTTTTTTCTCACAGAAGGTTGTGAAAAGATGGAATTCTCTTCCTGAAAAGGTGGCAGAGGCAGGGGCATAATGTATTTTTAAGGCTGAGTATAGATTCTTGTAAAGCAAAGAGGTGAAAGGATATCAGTGGAAGGCAGAAATTGGATTTGAGATGACAGTCAGATCAGCCACCACATTATGGAATGGTGGAGCAGGCCTAAGGGGCTGAATGGCCTACTCCGGCTCATGACTCTTACAGTACATGGAAGGGATACCCACACTGTTGTGCTTTTTTAAAATGTGTGTGCTAGTCTGCCATTCCACTCCTGGAAGATGCATTAAATCTTGGCCCATTAGGCTGTGAATTGGTGAATGTAAATTGCCCCATGGTACTGTTTAAAGAACCACAGCAGAGCTCCCACAGAATAATTGGATGGTACAGCAGACATGGAGGTCATTTGGCCCTTCGTGTGAGTGCTGGCATCTTGTAGATGGTACTACTGTTGCTGACCATTGGTGGCGGAGGGAGTGGATGCTTGTGGATGTGACGCTGATCAAGCGGCTGCTTTGTCCTGGATGGTGTCAAGTTTCTTGAGTTTTGTTGGGGCTGCACTCATCCATTCAAGTGGGGAGTATTCCATCACACTCCTGACTTGTGCCTTGTAGATAGTAGTCAGGCTAAGGAGAGATAAGAGCTTTTAAGCCTCTAAATTGCTCATAACCACAATATTTATATGGCTAGTCTAATTCAATTTCTGGTTAGTGGTAGTCCCCAGAATGTTGATAATGGGGGATTCAGGAAAGGTAATGCCATCAAATACAATTTGGAAGTAGAGTTTAGAATGTAATTGTGCTGCTGGTCATCAGTGCTGCCAGTGGGAGTGGTCATATCCAGGATAGTGATGGCATTTCTTGGGATGTTATGTGCAAGGTATGATTCTGTGATTTTGACAAAGTCAGGAAGCCCAGCTGGAACGGAACATCATTTATTGTTGAACATCAAAACAGAGCCACTACTCATGGCCTACCCAGGCTAGTCCGAACCCAGAACAGACAGTTCTGCAGACCCATCCTTGGGTCCGTTTTGTAAAGGGCTCAGGTGACGAGATCCAAGTGGGTAGGCCATTGCTTGTTACCAAGGGAACCCATACTCAATGAACTCCCTGTGGACCTTGTAGGAGTGATCACACCCCTTCACCTCCCAGTCCAAGGATCTGCCCCTCGCTCCTGTTATGATGGGACCTCCTGTGAGATTTATCCCATTGCCCTATTCCTGTTGCTTTCTAGCTCTGAATGAGGAGCGTATAATAAGTAGGCGATCATGTCATTTGTGAAGACTATTGAAGAGTTACTGCAGAGTACTTGTCCTTGGTGATGTGTCCATTGAAAACATTGCCTCTGTGGAGGGTTCCCACCACAGATGGTTGATGTGCAATCTTTTCCCTGGTTTTGACCATATCGGATACCAGCCCTGTTTTTTGTTAAGGGTAACTCCCGAGTTCCCTGGAGAATCATTACCAAAGATCCTT